CCGACGCTGGCTAGTGCCGGTTTCGAGGATGCCGGGACGACCGGAGTCGGGTCAGGTCCTGTCTGCGACAATGAGGCCTCAGGCGGGCCGGCCGTGACGAGAGTCTGATCGTTGACATCCAGTTCAGAGCCGTTTGTCGTCGTCGTCTCGGGCGCATGCTCCAGACGGCCGCCCTCCGCCGACAGCCGGTCGCCGGCCCGCTGGGCCGGCTTCATCTGACTGCGCGCGGTGGACTTCGAGTGTGTCTGAGGCGGCACAGCTGGTCGGTCGACAGATGCTGAGCTGACAGCACCCGGCATTCGACGCACCACGCTGGAGGTGGCCGCCAGCCGGCCGAGGTCCAGGCGCGCTTGCCTGACGGTCGCCCAGACCACAAGCTCCAGGCCACGCCACAGGCGCGCCAGCTCAGAGAGACGGGACATGGCTGCTGGACGAAAAGAACATACAGTAAGACGCAATACATGTGACACTCCCAAGCCCAAGGCATGGTGTGGCTGTGAAAAGGGCATTGGGCTTTCAATGCCACTTGGGCTTCCAATGCCACTTGTTATTCGACGAGACGTTACACAGCAATATCAACCCTCAGGGGACTATCTGAGAGTTGGTGGCTATGGCCGGTTCACTGTTCAGACTACACAACTGGTCACATTGGAGGTTCTTAACCCGCGCCAGGTCGGGGGGGGGGGGGTGTTTGGACAACCCCTGTGGTTTTTCGCATTTATCTAAAAAAAAACGGCCAGTCCTTTCCCGCACACGTTATGTAAATTTTAGACCCAGGTCGCTCAAGGTCAGGTCACCAGGTCACGTCGAGTGACCTCATCTAAGAAAAAGTTGGAATGCTCGTCATAGCTACACCAATGAAACGGTTGCTTTTAAACTTTCAGCGATGGATAAGAGTAGGGTAGACCGGGGCAACGCGCACCCCGGAGGTAATGTGCGCCACGTTAATATATATATGGCTTCCCGTGTGTAAATAGTTTTAACCCTTTTACTGGTGGTGGTGGTGGTGGTGGGGGGGGGGGGGGGCCAATCGGCCCCACCTGTAGTTTTTTTTTTGCTCTCGACGGAGAACGACTTAAGCTAGGGCTAGGGCTTCGGCCCGCGACCATCTGACGTCCGGCCCGCGGCTGGTATCAGCGACTTACATCGTGTTCCGGCCGGCGGTTCCTTCAGAAATCGACTTCGATATAAAAGTAACTTAAATGTGCGTTGGCACAATAGTTCTTCCTTCACACATTTCATGAGTTTATAAGCACCACTTGCAGACGTTTTTGTCTAATTCAACTTCTAGACAAAACTTGCAACGGTAAGATTTGGTCAGCAGCTTTTGCGCGCAGCAGCAACGACTGCTGGCTGCGCGCAGTTGGGGGCCTCACGCGGTCTACTCGTTTAATTTATATCTCCGGGATAACTTGCCTCTCTCAACCGCTGCAGGATTACCCCACCGGGCAAAGCACGTGAGCTGTCACAGCTAAAAATGTATTAATAACGCTGTCATATTCGGCCCCCGGTCAACAGACATGGTAGCCCAAATCTAGTCGGATATGAAAATTATTCCAAATCCATAGACTTTAATGCTAAATTGACTATATTTGAGAGGGTTTTATGATGATAAATGACCAGATACAGAAAAAAAGCGAGATGCTATCTTGTAGATTAAATCGTCGACTATCTGCGACTTTTGAAGTGTTTTTTAATCTGAGGTACGGAAATCGTGTTCCCAAGAGACTGAAAGTAGCCATGCTTTACATTAGACCCAATGGCAAAAATTCGGAATCTGACGAAATTGGCCATTTTTACGTCTGATTTATGAAAATTATAGACAGGATATATAAAAACCCGAGATGCTATCAGGTGGGAAATTTCATTGTCTATTACCGCTTTTTGAAGTGTTTTTCGATCTGAGACCGGCAAATCGTGTTCCCAAGAGACTGAAAGTAACCCTGTTCTACAGCAAGACAATGGCAGAATTCTAATATTTGATGGAAGATATCTTAGGTGATAATAACCTTACTACTAATTGCAATGCTTCATTGGAAAGCTCAACACTGCCACTATCATCGGTCTATGTATTGCTATTTCACAGAACAACAAAAAATAACGTTTTGAAGCCTCTGAATATTGACTTACTTTTCATCGACGGGCTCGATCCCCGTTACCACCAGCAATTTTCCGGGAAGTCAGGATTTTGCAGATATTTAAGCAGAATTGCAGAGTTGTGTTAATACTACGGCACTTAAATACACATTTTAAGAAAACTGCTTTTTTTCTTAGCATGAGTTAGGTCTCAGAAACAGCAACATGTCGATATAATGAGGAAAAATAAGTGCAAATGATCGCGCAAGAGAGTATCCTTAGCTCCCTAGCAACCACCTAGCAACGTAAGGCAAAATAGTAAACAACTTCTGTTGGTATCAGGTACTCAGCCTTGGAAGCACACTAAAAGTTCACCATACTGGGCTTCATACTGAATTTTGCATACCAGAATGGGTGTTTCCAACTAAAATTATTTTTTCGCGAAATTTATCTTTGTTGCCCTACTATTTTTCGTAAAACCGAGATATACAAACTTCATGATATCAAAAATAATATTGTGATAATGAAGAGCGCCGTATAAAACAAGAAAATTGCTGAGATCATGCCTACTAAACTTGGTCCTACCCCCTAATTCAATATACCCTGGTCATATTTGCCAAACATTGCTTGTAACCTAAAAACTATGTCCCCTGGTTTGGCTCTCCCACAGGAGACGAATCGGTAACTTGGCTGAATCCCAGTTGCGGCACCCGGCCGCCAGGGTCGCTGCCGCGCGAGCGGCCTTGACCGCTCGCATGTCATTGGCAGTTCGGTCCCTCCCCATCTATACCGAGGTGGGGAGGGGAGAAGAGGGGAAGAGAGGGGAGGGAGCGGCATCCGCTCGGCACTGGGCGATACCTGGCTGACCCCGCGCTCCCTCGCTGACCTTTGTCCTGCCCTCAGGAGTCAGGCGAAGACCGACTTCCTGGCCTGAAGCGGCCCAGCGGAAAACCGAGCTCGCGGGGCGCGACTCCATTGGCCCACTCTTATAAATGGAATGCTGTCGTATCCACGGCATTAGATAATATTAATAGTGATACCAGCAGTGGATGTGGTAAAATACAGTCCAAAACAAACGAAAGCACACGATTCGTACATAATGCGCCCTCCCATTCAAATAAGCCCGCCCACTTCGATAGATGGTGTAGTTTCTTAGAGCGTAAAAGATGCAAAACACTACCGATTTTTTTTTTTTAGCTCGGCCACTGGGACCGACAATATACAATTGACTGAAATGCATGAAAACAATTTTGCATTTAGGTAATAGCCGTTTTCTGCACCCAAACTTTAGCCAGTGACGCCCTGATGATGATGATTGGGTTTGATGGCGTGCCCAACCTCTGAGGGTTATATGACGCCAGTAACTTATCTTTTTGCGTGAGGTGCGGGGCAAGAACTGAACAGCGAGTTAACAACAGTCTTAAAGCGCAGGTAAGCGTGCTAAACAATGGTGAGCAATGTGCAGTTTCCTCTCAAAGCACGAGTAAAATGATGTAAAAAACGGGACAACAGTCCCTCAAGAAGCGTTGCTCGGGCTAACGTCCAATATACTAGGTCTGGGTTTAGAAACTATCGTGCTCGAAGATAAAAGCCAACCCTCGCAGGACAGCGAGGCAAGAGTTCCGGTAAAGAGAGAGTTTTACGAGACTTTGTGAGAGTAGACTACTCGGAGTCCCGATGTTCTGACGAACGCAAAGAGGGCTTCCCTGTCTAGGAGGTGCGAGTCGTTACCTAGCAGGTTTTGGATGGTCAGCTGATGCGTAGCCCCGAAATGCGCTTCCCTTTCACGATTAAGCTGAGGACAGTCCAGTAGAACATGCCTCACCGATAGGGGGACAGTGCATCTAGGACACGTAGGTCTGTCTCCTCCACAGAGGAGAAAGCCGTGGGTGCCGTACGTGTGCCCAGTCCTCAGCCTGCACAGGCTGGCACGGTCCGCCGACATCAAAACAACGGTGCGTCAGCTGATTATTGGTCCTCCGATTCAGGAGAAATTATTAACGCGGGAACGCCGGCGCTAAATAAAGGCGGTGGGATTCACGGCTTTGCATGATTGTGTGCAATATTTTTTTATAGTATCAAGCGAGGGGTATTGCTGGAGTTTTGCAAATAAATATTTTATTCTCAGTTTGGCTATGCGATCGTGAACACTTTATTTTCATAGATACGATATGAAGTAGTATAAACAGGCCAACCCAAGGCTATGTAGGCCAACCTTAGACTTCGCATAGCCATGGACATTGCGTAGGAAGGTACTCGCCGATCGTACCACGATACCACGGGCAAGATATCAGACTTTTGGGAGTTTTGTGTCGCTGAAATGTATTTTAAGTGCTAAGAAGGAAAATAATTCAATTTAATGTCATGTACAATGGACATTTAGCCATTCCAAGCATATAGTTTGCCTGGCTTCGCCAACCAGATAGCCAGGTTTATTCCAAGAGCTTCTAAAGAGGTAGTGGATTTAATATCGTTTCTATTACATTTATTTGATAATCCTACATATCAGTAAATTCCTGCCACGTTATCATTCTCGTCGAGCGATTACCGGCACATCGTACCAATTGGTACGATGTGCCGGTAATCGCTCGCCGAGGATGCCAATGCAGCGTCGAGCGTCCGATGGTTTACGATAGGAATTATAACAATAGTTTTAAACTAGCGCTTTTTAGAACCATGGTCCGAAATGGTAATTCAAAGAACCTCTTCCCCTTTCAACTCACCTGAAAAAGCTGCTTTCGTGTACCACCCAGCACCCGTTTCGTAGATATATCAAAATGATAACCGGAGGCGAAGATTATCTTTATGATACCACGATTTGTGGGGCTGACTAGTACCGACGGGGATCCCACAAACACGACGGTCACATTCATTAAGCATGATGTACGGCGTAAAGCACCACAACTCACCCCAAAAGCGCAACCTTCTGAGATATCTTATATTTAGTTTCAATGCTGGTACTGGTGCAGTTTCAATGCTGGTACTCTGCTCATTTCTGCTCAATAAAGTTATTTCTCGCTCAAATGCGCCTCACATTAATCGTGTGCTGTGCTCCACAATCATTGCGCCGCGCGCTCTTCCTTCTTATCGGCCCCCTTGAGATCGTATCCATCAATATCTATTTGCTTCAGTTCTAAGTTCTAATGACTTGTATTGTAGAGAAACAATTTTAGAGCGTTTAACAAAATAATTGCATAACCTATGAGCGATAGGAAAAGCCCAATCGTCCAACTCATAAAAAACATTGGGACACAAACAACTGGAAACTGATGGTAGTTGGTACTTTCGCGCATAGGCGGCGGAACGGGGAGGGCACCGGGGCACCGTGCCCCCCTTTGATTTTGGCATTTTAACATGGGCTCTATGGGCGTTACATGGAAAGAATGGGACCAAAAGTCGGCAGTGCCCCCCCCCCCTTCCCCAGTTGAGCTGGGCGCAGGTACTAAATAGCATCAAAGGAAATCCTATATTCATCTCGCCGCATTTAAGCGCACCAATCGAAAGACGACAGCGTGACCGCGCTGACAGGCAATCAACCTGGCCACATAAAACTAGCTAGTGCAAGGAAGATGTCTATATAAACCACTGGACCATGCAAAGCGTTCATGTAAATAAAATATGAGTAAAGATGACCCGTTTGAGGGCAGACTGGCCAAACAGTGACGTTACACGCGGATCTCAACACTGCACAGCCCATTCATCAAAAAAGATCTCGTGGATCCCTATATACGTCATAACTAGCCCTAGTACGGGGGTATATAGCCATGGACGTAAATGGCCGGCTTAAGGCACAGGATCCCAATTGTCATCCCCATAACGTGGTCCCCAGAAGTCGCCAGGCCGAGAGCCAATGGCAGTTAAGCACATCTTACACGTGCCGACAAACGTGACACAATGAATCCAATAATGAGCCCGCCAATAAGCCTGCCTAATTCTGCATGTAGGCTGCTATTTACCACCACGGCGGAAGGCTAAAACGCATCCATACAGCTCAACATAGGTGTCAATTTCCGCCGGGTTGGGGGTGCTCAAGCTCTTTAAATTCCCCGCCGGCTCGGCTGGCTTGGCTTTGGAGCCCCAACTTCTATAGAGCCTTGGCCCCAACAGACGGTGCGGGTCAAGGTCACCGCTGAGGCGGCGGCGGATTTGCTGCGCCCGGGCAGTGGGCACCCTCAATTCGGTGAAAATCGACACCCATGCAGCTCAACATGACAAAACGCTGCATACAAGCGCACGTCCTCGCATTTAATTGACGCATTTAACTGCGTCACTAACCTCGTACACTGTACAACACTGGTGAGATGACTGTCCGAAGGAAACTGCCGACTTTGGCTGGCAACATTCAGGGTTGGTGACTTATGTAGGTACTGAGTTCGGCTGACTGACAGCGATGTGACTTCAGGACCGGTTGATGAACGGGCCATCCTAGCCCCATACTACAGGAGCCCAGCTGGTCTTGGCGAGCGGCGGCGACTGGACGAGGCTGGACCCCTACTACAGGAGCCCAGCTGGTGCTGACGAGCGGCGGTTACTGGACGAACGGGTCAGCCTGGACCCCTATTGCAGGAGTCCGGCTGGTCTTGGCGAGCGGCGACGACTGGACGAGGCTGGACTCCTACTGCAGGAGTCGAGCTGGTCCTGTCGAGGAAATAGTTCACCTTTAACATGGGATTTTAAACTGAGATAGCAGTCTGATAGAGCAGATTTGTGTATGCCCTATATTTGAACCGTTTGAGATATTCACCATTTATCAGTGAATATTGGTGCTTAAATTCATGTTCTAGTGCTCATTTACAGCAAGCAGAAACCTCTTCAACACACACAGTGGCCAATCAGCGATGAGAGCACTTACAGGAGCAGAATCCCTTACAGCTGATAGGTTGTTCAGCAGTTAGTGTTCATAACTCTAATCATTAAAATAATGAAATCCCTTTAGAAGAAGTGTGTAATTCCAAGTTAGAATACATTTAAATTTTATTCATCACATTTTTAACACATCTTTTTGAATTTTATTAATCAAATTACTCACAGAAGGTGAACTATTTCTTTTAACACTTACCTTGCTTCAATGGTGACATGTAGCTCTTGCAGCAGAGAAGGCACAGCATTTGGCTGCAACTTCAAATATTGACTTGTTGCTATCAATTATTCAGTTTTGAAATGCATACAGGTACAGTGAATCTTGGGTTCTCCTGTAAGAATGCTGACCGCAGAAGCAGAAGTTCATCCAAAGCTTGTGCCTGAAAAAGGGCCAGGTTTAATATATGAGTGAAATGAAGACTTATAGGTAAGGTTTTGACTAGACCCCTGGGTCACAACAGGAGATGACCCCCGTGATTGGTGGGACCACCAGGCACCAGCACTGGCACAGTCCGTTCTGACCACCGCACACCTATCAGCCCGAGAGCACACTAAATTGCATGTTAAAGCTCCATTAATGCTTTTTTCAATTTTGGCCATCCATTTTGTTGGGTCCATCATGTCCATCACCAAGCCACATTTAAAATGCACTACACTACATCCCCCACCACCTGACCACACCAGGCCAAATCTGCACCGTGCTACATAAAATCCGCACTGCACCAAGCTAAATCCACGCCACACCAAAGCCTCACCAGCCGGACAAGCCAGCACAGACGAGATCTTGTCGAAATTGCCATGCTTTGCAGAGTGCATACTGGCCTACCTGAACCTGACCTTACCCAACATATGAGCCTGACTGTCCTTAGCACTGGGAGCTCATTGAGACCAGGCCCCACAGGCCTAGTGGCCTCCTGAAACCTGATTTCCATATGGGGTGAGCTATTTAAGAAAGAATGGTGATCGGATATCAAACCCGAGACAAGACAGCAATGAGCAGTGGGCGGTTCATGCAACCATAATCATGTTTCCTTACCACAAGTATCAAAGCAAAAACAAAAATAGCTACCTATCGAATTCAAATTTCACTGGAACCTCACCTGCATGGATCTTAAGTGAAAGGTACATCTTGATACATCTGCACGAAAGATACATCTTGATCTTGATCCACTCATCTCAATCTTGTTTTTCTGCATCCAGGGCATGCAACACTTCTGGTCAAGGCCGTATATAGGATATCGCTTCTGGTATTTTTGGCACAACTTACTCGACTGCTGAGCTCAAATGCAAATTGCAATCACGGTCATAAAATACTGAATCAAGGCCATATTACTGAATATTGAATCGCAATGTATATTCAGTCGATGTACCCCTCGTTCGATGTCTCTCAGACGACGAAGATTGTACGTACGTCGTCCGGCCAATCCTCTTCTAGGTCAACGGGGGCTCGGCTGCAATTATGGAATGTGATTGGCCAAACCGGGCCAAACGGCGTAGAATCTTTGTCGTCCGAAAGACAGCGAACAAGAGTAATGTCGCTACTGCGCCATTGTTGCATCGAATTCGCCCCATAGAAGCACGTGTTAACTCTCTCCCATAGGGCCCTGGGTAAACTCTTGTACACAATCAGCTGACGGCATGCCTCCCGCGTCCCCTGGCTTGAAGCTTCGGCTCCGTGTTACCTTAGTATTCAATGACCGTGAGCCTGCACAGGACTACCTCGTCCCGCCTGTTTTTGCGCATTGAGGAGGCCCACGGTGCTAGTGTGGGCTTGAGGGATAGAAGCTTGTTGCCCAAGCAGCCATCCCACCTGCTTTGCCATTTGCTGTGCAAAAAGGCTTTGATCGTAGGGAAAAAGTCCCTAGCTGGGAGTGGGAATCGGTGGAGATGAGGCCTCTCCGAGGCCCTCCTCGCCGCCAAGTCGGCAGTCTCGTTACCTTGGATGCCTACGTGGCTCGGGATCCAGCAGAGCCGCACACGTTTTCCCTCTCGGGCAAGACCAGTAAGCTTCTGTAAAATGTCCTGTACAATGGGGCCAGTAGGGTTAAAAGAGCGGAGAGCCATCAGGGAACTCAGTGAGTCAGACATTATCAGATAGGAGTTCCCGCTGTCTACTTCGATGTAGCATAGGAGCTTCTGGATGGCAACGAGCTCCGAAGTGAAGACTGATGTCTGTCGAGGAAGTGTAAACGATCGGACCGAACCATCGCAAACAAAAGCACACCCTACACCTACGTCCGTCTTGGAGCCATCCGTGTAGCACGCCACGCAGTCGCCATACGAAGCGATGTGCTCCAGTGCTCCTGCCTTCAGCACGGGTCCCGGAACGTCGCGCTTCCTGGTAGCCGCCAAAGAGACATCAACTTCCGGGGTCACCAGCCTCCATGGAGGAGTTCCGACCACGTGGGAGTCCATGCGGATGACATCTCTGGGTCGGATACCACTCTCTGCGAAGAGCGTCTGCATACGGAGGCAAAATGGAGCTGGCTTAGAACGTCTAGTGTCGGTTGGGTGCCCAAAAATAGATCGAAAGCCGCTGGAGTAAACGGCCCCGTATGACGGGTGAAACGGAAACTGCCGAAGCTTCAGAGCGTAGCGCATTCCCAGCGCCTCCCTGCGAAGACCGAGTGGAGGCTCATGGGCGTCGGCGAGAAGACTGTCCACCGGCGTGGTGCGGAACGCGCCCGTTGCTATCCGGATAGCGGAGTGGTGGACAGTATCCAGCGTTCGCTTGATCGAGTGAGACGTGTTATCGTAGATAAAACATCCATAGTCAAGTTTAGAGCGGATCAGTACTCTGTACATAAGAAGAAGTGTTCTACGGTCTGCACCGTAGCATGTACGGTTCTCAAGTAAAAGTCTTGTTGGTTTTGCTTTTTCCGACATATCTGGTCCTATATAATGTTCAAATGCATAAGTATCAACCCGAATTATGTGTATGCACATTTACCACGAGACTGTGAAATTGCATCGTTGTATGCCAAATACTTTCCGAGATATTCACCAACAACCTCATTTTCTGCCGTTTGGGGTATTCTGGCCGCAATCTTCCTGGGATCGCCTATGACATCAGTAGAGCCATCTAACGAGAGGAACGAGGAAACACAGAATCATGAATGAATCGAGCGCGTAGTAAACGGTGTATGAAAGGGAGACTCGGTAGAGGCTATCCGGGTGGCCGGCGCGCGGCGCGCCCTTAGGCATCGGCCGACCCTTCGGACCGCGTGGGGTCAGAGGTCGCGCTCGGGAAGTCTCGGCTCTGGGTTTTAGCGCTATGCAGTCAGGAAGGGAGGATAGGATTAGCCCGACTGACTAGTATCTCGGCTGTTTCTTGTGGGGTGGAAGGGAGCACAGAATGGGATGGCGGTTAGTGGTGGATGGTGGGATGGTGGTTAGGTTAGTGCGTACTGCGTAGAACGTATTCCCAGTTGAAAAGTCCCCTGGCACGAAGGACGCCGCGACGTCGCGACATTTTGGGAACTTACAGAGGTTCACTTTTGACGTCATTGGACGGTCAACGGCCTGACCTTAAGCTTCGCACTAACGATGTTCGACACTAGGTGGGTGTCGAACAGACCTCCCGCCCTCAGTTTTTCGCAAATAACTCTCGCAAAAAGCGGCTGATTACGACGAAAATTTCAGTACCCTCGAGTTAATCAATATTACGCCTACTCTTAAATTTTTATGACCCTGACCCAAAAGTCCTTTGACTTGTAACCTGTTTTCCGAGACCATGTTTGGCCGGAATCGCAATTTAGCGTATTTCGGCTCACATTATGAGCGCGTTTATTGTCTTTTTTTTTGTGGCTTTAAGCGATCAAACATGTGAAAGGATGTTGATCCCATGGATTCTAGTGGGTGTCAAGGTCACGTGAAGGTCAGTCAGGTCACTGACCTTTGATGACCTTAGTTCACTGCTTCGAGTTCTACATGTTTCTAGGGTAGATTTTGGAGTTGATTTCGCATTTAGAAACCGTTTGAACATTTACGAAGTAGTTTTGGTTCCCTCTTAACATGTGACCTGACCTGACCCGACCTGGACTAAATGCACGAAAACATCATCTGTAATAAAAGTTAACTTGAAATTCGTGATCAGCACCCCCGCAAAACCTTATAATAGCCTCACTTTAAGAAGCTCTAACAGGTCCCGATTTTCCCGACTTTTGAGTTTTGAGAATATATTGACCAATCAAAAAATGACCTAGGACCTTAAAATTGGGTATCAACGGCCTCCTCTCGTCACGGGCAACACGCTCTTTTTCCGCGAAGCTCTAGCTCGATCAGGGGCTGAACGGCAAAGGGGTCCAGTCCAACGGACCCCCTCCCCTTTACGCTAGACGCTGGCAAAACACTAATATGAGCGAGGGTTAAAATACAGCTGCTGTCATACAAATTCGGCTGGAATCAAAGGTCAGGTTTGCAAAATTTCAGCTCTCGCAGCAAATTAGACATGTGGAGGCGGCACCCGTCTCCCCGTCCCCCTCTTCTCCTCTCGGCCACTACCAGCGAGGTTTTAAACGTATCATAAAGATTACAAAGCATCATATCAGATGACGCACCCGAGTAGCCATATGCACTGAACAAAAGCTTATTACCCACCCTAGTCTATCGGCACCATAGCACATGGTCGAGACTGTCGTCAGCCACGGACGCGCACTCGACCAACCCTCCGAGCCCGTTGACTGCGGGTGACCTTGACATGTCAAGCCTGATCGGCAGCCGGCCGCTGTCGTGCGGTCGTTACACACGGAGGGGAGGGAGACACAAAGCTCTACGTTATAGCTGACCTCTGACCTTTCCCTGCGCCCTGGTCACTGACCCCGCTCCATGTCGCTGGGCGGTGGCATGGCGGTGGAAACCGGTTCTAGCCTCTACACATGCCACCATTCTAACCCTCCCCTCCCCACGCTACTACGCGGCGTGGAGTACGCTCGTGCGTAACTGGGCGGAGCAAGGGGTCACGCGATACAGGGGCGGAACTGGTTGCCCTCCCGCTCGCCGAGCGACCAACGACTAATACCCTGGAGAACCGTACGAGACACACACTTCATGACGTTGAGGGCTTTCAAGCACTTATCACGGAGTTCCCTAAGGTGGGGCTTGTACGTGAGACGGCTGTCCATCAGCATGCCAAGGAACTTGGTCTCAGACTTCACTGGGATCAGCTCGCCATACAACCTAACCGTAGGGTCGGGGCATGGGCGTCGGAAACGGCAAAAGTGCACAGCCACCGTTTTCGCTGTCGAAAATTTAAATCCATTAAACATGCTCCATGTCTCCAAGCGTGAGACGGCTAGCTGAAGCTGCCTCTCCAAGGCTCGAGTGCTAGCTGCGTTTGTCCAAATGGCGAAGTCATCAACGAATAATGCGCGCCCAATGGACGGAGAGATGTAGTCCACGATGTCGTTAATCATGACTCCGAACAGGGAGACACTGAGAACGCCGCCCTGGGGAACTCCGTTCACTTGAGGGTATCTTTCAGATAAGCTATTGCCTATGCGTACTCTGAAGTATCGATCGGCGAGGAAGCTTGACAGGAAGTGCCCCATTTGTCCACGGATCCCGCACTTGTGTAGCTTCATGAGGATGCCAAGACGCCACGTGGTGTGATAGGCTGCCTCTATGTCAAAAAATATGGCACCCACATGTCTACCTCGCTTAAAACTGACGCGAATATCGGTATCAAGTGTTAGAATATGGTCGACAGTGGAGCGGTGCCGTCTAAAGCCGCACTGAGACGCGGTAAAGGCGTCATGGTGTTCCAAGAACCACATCAGACGAGTGTTCACCATCTTCTCCATCAGCTTTCCAAGACACGAGGTGAGAGCAATAGGTCGGTAGTGAAGGGGCTCGAGGCCACTCTTCCCTGCCTTCAGAATAGGTATGATAATCGACTCACGCCAGGTGTCGGGATAGGAGCCTCTTTCCCACAGGGAATTGAAAAGGGCTAGCAGTGAGTCAAGAGCTGGTGAAGGGAGATGGCGGAGCATCTCGTTGTGGACGGCGTCTGGCCCCTCGGACACACATCTCAATGAGCTGATGGCTGACATCAGTTCGGGCAGCGTAAAAGGGTCGTTGTAGGTGTAATGGTCAGTGGAATTAAAGCTTACGCCGATCTGTTCACAGCGAGCACGGTGGCGAGTGAAACGTGAGTCAACAATGCTGCCAAGATAACGATCCCTAAACGCTTCACCCATCACGGTCGCAACCTCGGCTGGGTCTGAGACCTCTCGATCACCCACTCTCAGCACTGGGAGAGGGACCGAGCAAGACCGACCATCAATCCGCTTCACGCGGGACCACACCTCTGAGAGCGGTGTGAATCGGTTAAGCTGACTCACGTATGCACGCCAAAAGGAGCGCTTCGCTTCCCTTACCGTGCGCCTAGCCAGCGCTTTGGCTCTTTTGAAATACACCAAGTTGGTTGTGCTGCTATTGCGTCTAAAGGCACGCAACGCTCGCTTGCGTGCTGCTATGGCGTCGCCACAATCAGCAGTCCACCATGGGACTGGGACGCGCTTGGGTGAACCAGTGGTGCGAGGAACACATGTCTTTGCGGTCTCCACGAGGGTGGAAGTGAAGCTGGGCACTGAATGTGGACCAGCTGTGTCGAAAGCTGCCTCGAGGCGATTCCGAAACTCGCTCCAGTCGGCTTTCCTGGTGTTCCACCGTTGGGGGCGGGTACCAGCCGTGCCGCGACCGGAATAGTCGTTCCAGATAGGGAAGTGGTCACTGCCCCAGGAGTCCGGATCGACGCGACACGTAAATAGTGTAGCCAGCTGGGGGCTGACAAGACAGAGGTCTAAAACCGAGGTATGCCCAGAGGGCAATGTAACATGAGTGGCAGACCCTGTGTTTAAAACGCAAAGCTCTTCGTCGTTTAGAAATGATGCCAACTGTCGGCCACGCGGGCACACCGAATCACACCCCCATGCAGAGTGGTGAGCGTTAAAATCACCTAACAACATCACAGGAGAAGTAAGCTCTGTCATTAACAACTGGAGCTCCACGAGTGGAAGGACAGCTCCTGGAGGGCAATAGATAGAGCACACTGTAATCTCCCGATGGTCCAGTGTGACTCGGGTAGCCACAGCTTGGAGAGACGATCTCACAGGCACTTGCCTAGAAGGCACACTGTGATGGGCAGCTATCATGACGCCGCCATGAGCTATGGTGTCTGATGCCAGGTCTTTCCGATATACCGAATAGCCTTTCATTTTGAAGCAGGTGTCGGGACGCAGCTTCGTCTCCTGGAGGCAGACGACGAGGGGCCGCTGCTGGCTGACCAGAGCTTGAAGCTCAGGGACGCTCGAGCGAATACCCCTACAGTTCCACTGTAAAAAAGACTGCATATGAAGTGTTACCTAAGAGGCGGAACGCTAAAGTGGAACTAAAAGGGGTGGCTAGAGATAGCCGACTAGGTGGTTTAAAAGTTCTGGTCTTCGCTAGTCTCGGTACGAGGGGGCCCGAAGTGCACGCGAGGGTGCACTCCTCTGCCGCGGCTAAGACGCCCGTCCGCGGAGCTCGACCTACCCTCGCGGGAGTCCAAGGATCTGACTCTGGAACGGGGGCTACCCTCCGTGGCAGAGTCGGTCCAAGGAAGGCTCCTCTTCCCAGGGCGACCTGGGGTGGCAGAAAGCACGTCTCGTGATGGTGAGGGTGGTGGGGTTTGGGATGGGTGGTCAGCTCTTCCAGAGGTGCGGGCGGTCAGCCCCGATGGTGGAGATGGAGCTCGCAGACGCGGGGGAGGAGGAGGGGGATAGGAAGGGGGGCCCATCAGAATCGTGCCATCGGCGGGGCTCGCCACTTCCGCTGGTCGCAAAGCCATCGGAGGT